CCTATATTTCCCCTTCCTGTTGACAACCATCAAAGTAATCATTAACATTACTTAAAACTGATACGCAGCAATTAGCATAAAAAATCGTAGGTATTTTTAAAAGTAATTTTATAAATTTCTTTTAACATTTTAAACATATTTTCTGTAGAATAGTTTGTTCAAAAATTGGCATGTCTACATTCCAAACATTTCTTTCGAATGGAAAAAGTCAATCAATTCGTAACATTTACACGAAAATGACTTTATTCCTTATCAGCTTTCGAAATATCAACCTTAAAATTTGATTATCGAAATAACTTTAATATCGTTAATAAAATTAATAAAAGAATCGCAAGGAACGATTTTAAATTATTGATTTTTTCCCCTCTATCTTCTTGGAAATGTCATTAAAAGAAATGTAATGTTTCTATAACATTTATGTCATTTCAAAAGGAAAAATGTTCGGAATTTTTTCGAAGAGGAGCCACCATATATAACAATTTCTTTATTTAAATAAATTTTTTCGAGTGTTTCGTTTCGTAAAATATGAAATTTTTCACTCGTATAATTTTTTTTCTTTCTAATATAAAAAATGAATAAAACGGAGTGCTGTCTCTTGTACTGTAAATATAAAGCTACTTCGGTCTCATTGATTCACTCACTCATTGCTGACATGAAATGTTTGCGTATAGAACAGGTTTCTTATAGAAAAACGAAATGATATAATCGAAAGAAGACATCAAATATGTTATCAGAGAAATCCAATTTTTCAAAATAGAAATATTTTATGCGCTACGAGATGTCAAAGTTCAATCTCGAAATTCTCAAAGAACTTCACGATGTAAGTAATTTAAGTACCATCTTCCTATTTTTAAAGATATTTATTATTATTAATTTGCTCCGCATTATTTGACATTGCTATTTTTTTGTCCTGGTCAAGGGCGAAGTCCTTAGTATTATATATAAAACTTACATATGTGCTGACAACAAATTCCAATTAAATGAAAGATAAAGCTAGATAACGTTTGAAGTGGAATGACAACGGACATAAATATATTTTTAACCCTTTTTAAAAAGCTTACTTAGCAATAGGCAATTGCTTAGTGACCCATTTTTCATGGGTATTAGAAAAAGCATTATAAATAGATCCGCGATTTTAAATATTCACAACTTAAAGGCAATTATCGAAGTGGCATTCTGTAAATAGAATATATTAATATATACTTATATTTACATTTATACATAATTGTGTAAGCTTATAAAGGGAGAATAACTATTTTAGCTAAGTCGGATAGTTTTAAAAAAATCTATTTAAAGTAAGTCTCAACATCGTTTATGCATATTTTTAAATCGGGATCTTTAACCAGTTAATAGTCTATAAGCGAAGTATACGGAATGAAAATAGGTGCTTAATTAGGTTCTATTTAGAAAGAAATTAATTTCTTTTAAACTGTACATTATAAAAAGATAGCAAGAAAAAATTTGGTCAGTTTTGAGAAATTGCAATTACCGCCCTGTTAAGTCGACAATAGGTCAAGCGATACAAAATTTTCTCCGATAAACTATTTTAAAATCCCTAACACTTCCGTGAGAAAAACTACACAGGCACATAATTTCCGATTATTTTAAAAATTCTTACAACATACGAACTCGTTGATTATTGGGCGCAATGTTTTCCTCAACAATTCTGGAAAACTAAATATGGGCGTGTAGAATTCTTTAGATAGTACCATCAAGTCCGATATGCACCATTTAATGCATAATACGTACCAGAAAATCGATAAATTGTTATAATTTGCCTCTTTCGTAATTCCTCTTCGATCACACCATTTTCCAATAAGAATGAAATAGAATTCTAGATATAAATTATTACAAAACTCGGAAATAACAGATCTAAAATCCACGAAATGGTGGATTGGAATTGTAATGCGAATGACACAGAACAATAGGGTATACGGTTGGCTTCAATTTTACACATTATATGCTGGCTCGACAAACTCTTAATAAGATCGGTCAGCACGGATGAAGGGATGAAGAATGTTGCCCTAATCCAAACTATCAGGAATCTTACTCATTCGTGCGATTTAAGTCAATAATTAATTAGTCCTCTTTAAGTTAATAACCGCGTATTAGATAAAATCTACGGAAAATAACCGTTTAGATCAGTTTCGAAGAATATTAAATATCATGTTAAGTGCCATTTAGGAAATTTAAGAGCGGATAGATACTAATCCATTATGTAAACATCAGTTAATTAAGGACAAGCTGTTACGTAGCACGACAGAAGTATAACATCGAGTTATTATGCAGTTCAGAAAACCGAATAATTGTCCGATAAGTTACAAAAATAACAATGCGATTTGTAAAGGTCTCAAAAGACTATTGGACTTTTTAAAAATGGATTATTCTCAAGTAAATTTAAATTATCTATATAGGACTCAATTAAGAGTTTTTTTAAAAAAAAGAAAAGAAAAACCAACTCAAAGTTAAAAATTGAAACAGTGTCATTTTTTTAGGAAAGCAAAATTATACACACAGCAATGCTGTAAGAACACATTAAGAACATAAAGCCAACTTAATTGTAGAATTTCGATTGGATAAGGAAAAATACCTGAGAAAAGCGACATCTGAACTTCAAAACAAGAATTAAGTTCGAGCTGTTGTCCCACTAACCGAATTGTATTAGGGCGAAGTAAATTTCGTTCGGGTTTTCCATCGTTTCCACCACCCAGTGGAAAAACCTACGTTTTAAAATTTTCAAAATGTGAAAATAAAAACAGTGAATTGTTTTTCAGCTTTCTTTTTAAAGGCTCATTGATTAAATTTCACCTGTCTCGAGCTAGTGATTTAAAAAAAAGAAAAGAAAAAAACCAGTTAAACAGGCACGAATCGTATCTTCAAAATCTTTCTTTTGCCGGGAAAAATCAGACGGAGGATGCTGACAAAATAAAAAAAAAACAAAAAAAAAAAAAAACTGTGAAAATTTATTTTGTGACGTAATTTCTGTCATTGTGTTTCACTTCCTCCAGTTCGGATTGTCACTAAATGATGCGAAGTACTTGCTGATACCAAATCGAATAAATTTAATGACAGTCAATATTTTCTCACGCTGTAAAATATAACTGTGACATTAGTAGAATAAACAGAGACAAATGCAAACGCACGTTTTAAATATTTAAGGAACCATCAATTTCTTTCTGGCACCAGATTCTATGCAAAGTGAAACCCAAAGTTATTCAGAAAAAAATAATTTTTAATTTCTGGATAATCTATAAAAAAAAATCGATATTTATCTAGAATAGACCTATAATAATTTACAATATGGAACAATTAAAAAAACCTCTAATATATAGCCTATATATTTTTTATTTAAATTCTTTTCCTTAAAAATTACGTAATAGAAGAAACACGTATCACTACAGAAACAATATCTAAATAAACGAAGGGGAAATAAACATGAGAACTTTCATGACAACCTGGAAAAATAACAACTTTTTCTATTATTATTTATTTTTTTATTTTATTTTTTCCCAGCAAAGACTGCAGAGCAGAGCTGTACCTATCATACAGCAACAACCGTATAGTTAAAAGTGGCGCTGCTATCGAGTTTTCTATACTTAAGTCTTGTAGATCGTTCGCCTGAATGATATATGAAAGAAAATGGTCAGGAATGATTCCTTGTTTCATACAATGGTAGTGACTGCCGTTGTCAGTCTCCAATCTTGCCTAAAGAAGAATGGACAATCTCCAATACTGTATACGGTGAGTGTGTATAAGTTTCCTTGTTTGGAAGCCGTCGACCTTTTATAAATTAATTTTAAATAAAAGTATCGCATTAATTTGTTAGTTTTTAATTTCTCGATTATCTGTAACTATTTATTCGTAGAATTTTTGAGGATAATTTAACGCGTTCAAAATGTAGTTTGATTTTCAGTTTCAATTTTTGTCATGGCATCTGGCATCTTTCACGTATGAAAAGATATTCTGTTTACAATTGCATCCTTTTATCTAGAAGAAATTTCAAGATAATCCAAATTAAATTGATATCCGAGAAGGTTATTTGTTATCTATAAAGGTTGCTGAGTAAGAAAAAATTTATAAGTGGATAAGATGTTTTCTATGAGGCAAAACATAATTTCGTTTATTTTCAGAACAAATCTGGAATAAGCGCATTTAATAATAATATTTAAATAAAATACGAAGGAACCTGTTTTAATTAAATGCAAAAAAAATTTCTTCCTGAAAGTCGAACATTTTTTATTTAAAATATTTTTCATCTCGTTAGAAAGATAGGTGAAAGCATTTCTATTCAAAGCAACATATTGTCTACTTGATTTAGTATGTACTGTAAATCCAATCTTTTGATGGGATTTACTTTTAACATAAAATCAGATTTACTGTGGTAAAAAATAAAAACTTCAAAAATTCCAGGTTTAAAAGATATAAATACGCCGTTAATAATATATTTATAAACCGATTTTCTCTTGTTATTCAGAAAATATTTAATACTTTTAACGTTGCTACTGCGAAAAAGTAGTTTCTCATTTAATGAGATCGAATTTTATTACCTAGACTTAGTTTCTATAAAAAGTTTATAATCAAATCAACAGTTTATATAATAATACTTTGTCATTTCGAATCGCAGAAAGCTAATAACAGAATGCACTATTGCTAGACTCTGAACTGAAATATGTAATTTAGGTATCTTTTAATTAATATAACCTACGTTTACAAATAGACAATGCTTATAACACTCTAGAAACGCAACTTTTCTTCTCAATTTTATTTATTCTATTCTAGTGTGGAATTATTTTAAAAAATTATTTTAATATAATCTTTATTTCAAATATAATCTATATAGCTATTTACACAAAAAAATTTTAAAGCAAATATAATTTAAATTATGGAAAATAACAATATGAAATCGTGTGGTTTTACGAAACCATTTTGACCATCACCATCATAAAGGAATATTCAGATTCTGAATTATTATTTTAGAGATAAAAAATACATAAACGCACCTTTCATTTGTCTTCACAGAAATGTCTAGTACATAAAATTCTACAACAATTTCCTCCGTTAGTACGCAAATTAAGACCAAAGTACAACGAATATCGATAACCAAGGACACTTTTACAATGCCTGACCGAAATCCTAGTTTAATATAGGTATATCGAATTTATATTAGATCTTCTTCATTTTAGCCCACTGCCCCACTCATAAAACACATAAATATTAACGCAATTAGCCCAAACTATGCATTTAGATGCATGTTGTGGACACATCCGAAATAATTTAAGAATTTTGTAGATAGATTACGTTCCACAAACCCATATTCTGCATATCCTTACGAAAACGTTTTGTAACCAAGTGTACTCAAATTTAGAAAACCAAACTTCGTAATAACGACACAATTGCATTCTACGTGCAACTGCGCCGTTCTACTCGGCGTAGATGAAGAAGAAAACGCTAAAATTTATTCGCGTATTCCCATTAATTTTCATTCCTGTAACCGAATATTTCTTAATGAATATATTTTACCATACATTTATTGAGTAATATATAAAATGAGGTTGGGATTAACGTCTTTACTATTCACTACAATGGCCACTGACAACAATATTGAGGTCATTACCATTTAAAGAGATATGTCGAGTTTTCTGGGAACTTTCGTACAAGAATTTTTACTTGTTGAGTATTCGTATTTCAAGGTTGTTTGTCTCCTTTTCAAACCTTAAACTTTTAATCTTGAAGTTTTAACTTAACATATACTAGGAAAACCTTTAAAAAGATCGACATATATATTCTAACCAAACACCTTTTGGTTATGATATGGAATTTCATTTAGCTAGAAGTAATCATAAGCAAAAATAATAACAATCACTCTCACAAAACATCATAATAATTAGTAGTTAATGTAAATATATTTACTCGTTTTCAAAATTAAAAAAATATATATCGTCTTTAAGAATTTAATAAACCAACATTTTATAAAACACACATTTAAAATTTGACGAAAAATGCAAACTCACAACAGATCTGTTCTTTTTAGAGTACTACTGAAATCCGGAGTTTTAATCCTCTTTGCTACTAACCTTCCTTCACAACAAACTGTCATTACAATTTATATAATATAAAAAGTATAAAATAATAAAAAAATCCTAAAACTGACTCTTCATTATATACTTAAATATAAGAGTTTTATAAACCAGCATTTTTATNCAATCACTTGTGCTGTTGATGATATGTCAGTGGATTCGTCCACAGCCAAAGAAAAATAAGCACAGTTTGCAACTAAAATATTAAGTTGGCCAGAAATGTCTGAAGCAATTTTCGAGTTTCTCAGTTGTATCGTCATGCGGTTAAGGCTGATTGTTTGAAAACACTTTGTCTTCTCAGGACACATCTCACTTGCAATGATAAGGCACTTTTTTATCATATCGCCATCTGTGAAAGGTTTCCCATTCTTGGCTATTAAAGCAGATATTTCTAGACTGGCTTCAACAGCTGCATCCAATTCTCCAGATTGTTTCTTGAACACATTTTGTTGGCTGATTAGTGATCATCGTAACGATTCGATTTTCTGTTTGCATTCCGTACCTTGCAGAAGGAAATCCTTGTGTTGGCTTTCATGATGTCACCTCAGGTTGAATTCTTTTGGCACTGCTATTGTTCCATTGCACAAAAGGCAAATAATGCTGTTGTTCTGTTGCACAAAACAGTACTTGTTAGTCCACACGTCTTGAAATTGACGATTCTCGCGATCGACCTCGCATTCAATGCCCGGCGCCATACTGTTCACTCTGCAAAACAATGTCTTGTTGTGCCGAAAATTCTGAGGCCCGCAATGAATCGTGTTTGAGATAAGGCAAACTAGACTACCATATGCTTTGTTCTGTATCCACTCTGACCAAAGACTAAAGAGGCAGGGACAGAAGACTATTACGCACACGTGACAAATGGCCAGGCAGGTCTTAATTCGTTCGACCCNAAGCGTACAGAAACGTTGCTGTTGTTCCAGCAAAGATCTTATTTTCACTTTACCGAGTGCCTAGTAGGTAATTTGCAGATTACCTAGATAATCTGAACATTACCTAGGTAATTTGAGAAATGGAATAATTTTCGTAGCTTTAACGGATCACCCTGGTTAATCTGCAGATTAGCTAGGTAATGTACACATTAACGACTTTCGAGCTTTAGCGGTAACATATATAATAATTTCCCTAATTGTATTAATATTTTAAACCGTTTGATTTTTTGTATGTTTTTTAATTGGTTAATGATTGATTCTATCAACTAATTTGTTGATTGTATTAACTTGATTCTTTAGATATCGAAAATTCTTTCGTATTCGTTTCGGCGGTACATATACTAAAATTGGAACGATACAGAGTTGTTGTTAATTTAAGCGTACAGAAACGTTGCTGTTGTTCCAGCAAAGATCTTATTTTCACTTTACCGAGTGCCTAGTAGATAATTTGAGAAATAGAACAATTTTAACAACTTTAACGGATCACCCTAGTTAATCTGCAGATTAGCTAGGTAATGTACACATTAACGACTTTCGAGCTTTAGCGGTAACATAGGCATTGTACAAGCAAACCGTTCTTCTGCTTTGTGTGCAGTACAAGCATTGTGTGCAGTACAGGCAAGCCGTTCTTCTGCTGATAAACCAGCAATAAAAAAATATGCACATGGAATCTTCCAAGATCCATTTAAAGCAACCAGTATGAAAACTAAAACGTCTTTTGCAAGTTCTCCTGTTATACAAATTTCAGTTCCTATGTCAACATAACCATGATAATGACGACCATCAAAATATTCATGCTGTCTAATAACCATTTCATCCATTATTAAACAGCACAAAGTTGGTTTATCTGCAGACATAGAGCGTAGAGCAACAAAAGCTTCCTCGGTAAATCCAGGTGAAGCAGAAATGCCTGAATACCACGAACGAATTGTACGAGGATGAGGCAGAGCGAAGCCCAAGCTGCTTCTAACATAGTTATAACCACTGGATGATAAATAGTTAAGCGTAAGTGCAAACTTACGTAAGGCTGCTGGATATGCTCCTACGGAATTTTTTTAAGCCGATGTTGGACAGCCTGCGTTAATTGAAATGGAGTGCCATAAGTGCCATCTGAACATTCCTCCAGCAACTCCAGTCCTGCCTCAGCGATGTAATTGTTTTTCTTTAAAAATTCTACAACAAAACAAAAAGAAGAAATTAAAGTCAATAAAAACTAAAATAAAATAAGTAATCAGTTTAGAGAACAGAAGTTACTTAGACTGGTTACTAGACTAACCTGGATTTGTAGCATCGACGGCAGTGCTTGAAGAGAACGGATTTGATGCTCCAATAACTATGTTACAAGTATTTTGTTCATTGTCATTAACCCACGGTCATCCAGTTGTCAAACAATTTTCTTCCACATAATAATCACATTTTAATATTCTCATAAAAGTTCGAAATGTTTTACCGTTTTCAAATTGAATCATTAATTTTATATGAAAAATTTATCAATTTATTTTTTTCCTCTCTAGAAAATTAGTTTTGACATCTTTTCTTGTAAGGTGNATAAGAGTTTTATAAACCAGCATTTTTATTAAATTTTAACTATAGGTCTTTTAATTTTAATAAATATAAATCTTACTGACGATCTGGGGACGATTTCATTACTTTAAATCTAAATAAATTAGTCTTTTCGAAATTGTGAAACAACTTCTTTTGTCTCTATCAATAAATAATGCTGTCTAAAATTCCTCTCAAGATCTTTGCAACGAGATAAAGCGATTATATTATGTTTAAACACAAACGATTTTAATCTTGTTTTTTAAGCAATTATAATACCATTAAAAATTAATTAAAAATTAATAAAACTACTAATAGGTGACCTTTTATTATTTAACGCAGAGAATTTTTTCACTTAATTTATCTATCATAAACATTTCTACAAATTACATAAAAAATAAGTTGCGAGGGTTTCAAGACAAAACCAAAAAAAATCCATCAACACAAATTTCAAGAATTGATCTTTCACAATACTTTGGTATCCTGTCATTATTGCGCTTAACATTTTAATTAATATAATATTTATACACCCGAGCTTTTTTCACGAGTAATTAACTAGTATCTTAATTATCCCACGAACTATTTATCCTGTTAATCCTCGTAACTTATATGGTATCAATTGAGAAGAGATGTCTCATTTATATTTTAAAATAGCGCAATTTCGTACATTGATCATTCCCGGAATTTAATTTTAATTATTGATATTAATCTCTCGGATAATCCGAATGGAGGAAGCTGTTTAAATTCGGAAAATGTTAAATTTCCGATTCAATTTTAGCGAAACAGAACGAAAAATAAGGAAAAATAAGGTGAGCGAGGGAAAAAAGAATATCTTATGTCTTTGTTACGGATAAAGGAAAAAGTAAAAAAATAAAAAAAACAGCAGCTAGTGGCAAAATAGATAAATACCGTAACCACCTTTTACAAGCACAGAAAAAGCTGCAACCATTAATAAATCTGGAGACAAGTACCTTACAGATTTATTATCCCTATTATTACTGTTATATGAATTTTAGTTTAAATACATTTAGCGATATTTTTAGAATGGCGTAGATATTTAAGATAAGTTACCGAATTTTGTGTTTCATAATGACAAAATCAATCAACTGCTGGATTTCCTTTGGAATAAGCTTTAAAAAAAAATGATTGAAGATTTTGCCATTTAGTTTTTTTTTTTTTTTTTTTTTTTATGAAACTCATCCTTACCCTCAAAATTAAGC